CCAATTGACTTAGTAGGTTGATCTTGTACCCTTGCCACTTCACTGAATTCAATAGTTTTCTTGTTGGGTCTCTGGGATTTTTAAGAAATAAGATCCCATCATCATCTGCCAATAGAGACATTTTTACTTCTTCTTTACCAATTTGGGTGCCTTATGTTTCCCTCTCCTGCCTTAATGCTCTTCTGTGACTTCCAGGACAGCTGTAAATAGGAGTGGTGATAATGAGCAGCCTTGCCTTGCTTCCATTTACAAGGAGAATGTTTTCCATTTCTCTCTGTTGAAAATAATGTTGGCCAATCTCGGGTAGTCTTATTTTACATTTCTTTCATTATGAATAAAGTTGAACATCTTTATATTTTTATTCCCCTGTTAATACCTTCTTTCTGTTTTTCTAGGGTCTTCGTGCCAATTTTTCATGAGCACTTATTTATTGTATGAGATAAATTAGCCCTTTGTACTAGGAAAGGCTTTTTGTTTCCCATTTGTTACTTGCCTTTTGACTTACGTTGGGTTTTGCAATACAGAAAGTTTTTTATTTTTATATGGGCTATATTGCCTTAGTCAACCTCCTTTACCCTGCTCACTTATCAGCTTCTGTGCTGATTCCTAGGCAATTGGTCTTACTGACCAGTGCAATGGTCTGTCTTAAGGCTACATGGAGCAGCAGTTGGCAAACATGCTCTATCAAGGGCCCAGTACTAAATACCGAGGGTCACAGGGCTCACTGTCACAATTACACAACACTGCCTTATAGGGTGAAAGTAGCTATGTTGCTGTTGCTAGTTGCCATCAAGTTACTTCAACTGCTCTAGAGGCTTTTGAGCCTGTGACCTTTCAAAAGCAGATTGTCAAGCCCGTCTTCCAAGGACCCCTCTGGAGGGGTCCCATTCACAACCTTTCAGCTAGTGGATGAGTGCTTCATTTCTGCCACCCAGGAACTCCAGAAAGCAGCTGTAGAGAGGACACCAATCAATGATTGTGGCTGTGTTCAAATAAAATTTTATGTACAAAAAGAGACAAGGGGGGAAGATTCAGTTCTTGGGACATCATTTGATGACCTCTGAATAGAGAATTGGCAATTGGGGACCTTTCTCCAGCAGTCTCTGACTCTAAGGGGGACTGTAACCAGCCTCTCCCTCCATCTGCCTCCAATAGAGGTGACTTCATTTGCCCTGGTGGGACAGTGGGTTAAGCATTAAGCTGCTAAGCACAGGATCAGGGTTCAAACCCACCAGAAGCTCCTTGGGAAAAAAAGGAAGCTGTCTGCTTGCACAAAGATTTAAAGTGCCAGATACCCAGAGGGGCAGGTCGACTGTCCTATAGGGTCACTATCAGTCAGAATCGTTTAGATGGCAGTGGCATTTCCACTTGGTTATCTTGTCTGAATCCCATGCCTCTCCCCTAAGATATTCAAGCTGATTAGCAGACATGTATTTAGCATTTCCCTATCTGGAACCAAAAAGCAAGCCTCCCCAGAAAACTGTAGGCAGTCCATGGATTTGTATCTTGTATAGCTGACTTGGTCATCTTAGTTGCTACCCTTACCAGCACCTCAGCCCATGAACTGTTCAGCCTCTATACACGCTTAAGTAATGGGGGTCAATTTCTCAGCATGTCTTTACAAGCAGTGGGCAATAGAACATGCTACCTAGGAATTTCCCTCCAACACAACCACTCTCAGCCTCCTCCAATGCCCAAGGCTAGGCTTGGCCCAAGAAACCAGTTCTTACTCATCCCTTCCACATACAAGAAACCTAAGACTCATATACTAGCCCAACTGGCTAAAGGATATAAAAAGCATACTTTTTTTTTTCAAGTGGCTAAAGAAAAGGCTTGCTATTTGACGGTGTTGCAATATAAGCTTTGGAATTGGACAGGATCTCATCTTAAACAGGGATCAGCCAACACAATTGGTTTGGAGGAGATGGTAGAGCAACGCAATGGCTGGCTCTTCACTTTTTAACAACTAAAGAACTCTCTTTGTTTTTTTTATGGAACTCCAGTCTATAAAACTACTGCCAAAGTGGATATTATTTTAACTGTTATCAAGGCCTTATGAACAGATATTGTCCTGGGACTTATAGCATTTTACATTAGGTGAAGGATTGCAAACACTACCAGTTTCACTCATCTTTACCCAGTGGGAAAAAAGCCATTCTTTTTTCCTACAGCTTTTTTTGGTTACATAACATTGGAACTAGAATAACGTACTCCTCCAACTCATTACAGTCATAGATTCACCCTTTGTTAAATGATTAATATAAGGAATGAATTTTTCTAAGGATCTAAGCATTTCAATAGGCTAGAAAAGATTAACAAAAACAATATAAGCTATCCCCAAATTTGAAATGGTCAACATTTCAGTCCTTCCTTTTTGTCTTAGGTCAATACCCTTGGATATGAACCCCCTTGCTTCCACAGGACACAGACAACCATTGGCAGGACTTTTAGCTGAAGTTGCAGAGTCTAGGTCCAATTCCAGCTATCACCGAAGTAGAACCATTTGGGACAGCTCACCTCGCCCCCCCCTCACAGGAATATACGCTGATCAGCTGGTGACACCTGGAATACATTGAATTCATTTCGATTAGGTTAGGCATAGCCTGTTGTTTTGGAGGGAGTTGAGCTATCATTCTTTCAAAGTGTTTCTTGAGCACTTAGTATTGTTAGGTACTAGATTAACGTCAGAGTCCCTGGTGGTATGAACAGTTAAGTGCTCCACTACTACCCTAAAGGTTAGTGATACACATCCACCCAGAGACACCTCAAAAGGAAGGCCTGGCTATGAACTTCCAAAAGATAACACCCCCTGAGAGCCTTATGCACACAGTTCTACTTTGACACAGATGGGCCGCCATGACTTAGAAGCAAATCCAGAGCACCTGACTTGGTTTGGGTTTTGGAAATATGATGTTGAATAAAACAGACAAGGTTTCTTTCTTTTTGTTGACAGATTTTAATGTCCCTTCACAGACATGATTTCTACCTTCATGCAAGAGCGCTTCAAAAAGTTCACCGAAAAATCCCATTAGATTTTGATTCCATTTTTCCATGAACATTTTGAAGTTCCCCTCATATAGCTCATAGTCCAGAGCATGAGAAATTCATTCATTATGTGGTCTCAAAAATCTTAAACTCCCCCAAGACCATGACCCATAGACACCGTTGGGGTCTGGAAATGGGCTCACCCCATGGCTCAATTTCCAGTCAAACAATAGACCAGTCTATAAGGGGAACAATATTCCTAGAAAGGTAGGCGCACCTTAAGATAATCAACCATTTGAGATCAAAGGGCAGCATTAGCCCAAGGACAAAGTTCAGGAGGGTTAAGAAAGAAGGAGTAAAGGAACAGGAGAGAGGAAATAAGTGATGGGACAGTGAATGGGATTGTAATGGACGCAGTGAAAGAAAATGTATGTGAACTGTTGAATGCAAAACTGATCATCAGCACTGTAAATCTTCAAACAATTCACCATAAAAACTTGTGTTTCAATATTAAATATGTACATGGGTACAGATCAGAGCTGGAAACACAGGGAATCCAGGACAGATAAACCCCTCAGGGCCTATAATGAGAGTAGAGATAACAGGAGGTGGAGAGAAAGGGGGAACGGATCACGATGATCTACCTCTAGCCCCCTCCCTGGGGGGCGGACAATAGAAAAGTGGGTAAAGGGAGATATTGGTCAGTGTAAGACATGAAAAATAATAATTTATAAATTATCAAGAGTTCATGACGGAGGGATGATGGGGAAATGAGGGAAAAAATGAGGAGCTGATACCAAGGACTCCAGTAGAAAACATCTTGAAAATGATGTCAACAAATGTACAAATGCGCTTGACACAATGGATGGATGCCCCCAGTAAAATGATTTTTAAATGTATATATTAAATATAAACTAGCAAATGAAATGACAAAGTGACAGAACACAGGACTATGGATCCTGGCTTGCTGTGGGGATGAGGGAAGTCTCAGAGGTGAGAGTGAAGAAAGCTAAGAAGGATAGTAGGAGAGAGCTGCCTGC